CACACTGGTCTTGAACTCCTGGCCTCAAGCAGTCTTCCACCTTGGCCTCCAAAAGCAGTAGGATTACAGACGTGAGCTACCATGCCTGGCCCATGTGTGCAAGTTTTTGTATGGACCTATGTTTCCATTTCTTTTGGGAATATACCTAGGATTAGAATCGGTGATCATCTGGTATCTGTATAATCTTGTAAGGAACTGCCACACTGACTTCTAAAATGGCTGCACAATTTGCATTCCCACCAGCGGTGTATGAGAATTACAGTTTCTCCTTGTGGTTAACAGCACTTATTATCTGACTTTCGATTCTGACCATCCTACAGAGTTTGAAGTGGTATCCCATTGTAGTTCTGATTTTCATTTCCCTGATGACGATGGACGTTGAGCATCTTTTCTTTTTATGTGCTTATTGGCCATTTGCACATTGTCTTTGGAGAAATGTCTATTCAGATCTTTGTCTGTTTTTAAGTGGGTTATTTGTATCATCCAGTTGTAAGAGTTCTTTATATATTCTGGATATATTGGGTCAGATATATGATTTGCAAAATGAGGTTTTCTCCCATTTTGTGGGTTTTATTTTCATTTTCTTGCTGGTGTCTTTTGAAGCACAAAAGGTACTTTTTATTACGACTTGAATCTCTTCAGTTGTTATAGGTTTATTCAGATTGTCTATTTCTTCTTGAGTCAGTTTTAATAGTCTGTGCCTTTCTAGGAATTTGTCCATTTCACCTAAATTATCTAATTTGTCCGCATGCAATTGTTTATTAGTATTTCTTTATAATCCTTTTTATTTCTGTAGAGTCAATAGAATGTCCCCTCTTTCATTTGATTCTAATAATTTGAGTCTGATTCTTGGCCAATCTAGGTAAAAGTATGTCAATTTTGTTGACCTTTTCAATTAACCAGTGTTTAGTTTCATTGATTTTTCTCTACTATTTTTTTCATCCTCTATTTCATTAATTTCACCATACTCTTTGTTATTTTCTTATGTCTATTTGTTTTAGGTTCAGTTTGCTTTTCTTTGTTCCAGTGTCTTAAGGTGGAAGGTTAAGTTATTGATTCAAGATCTTTCTTTGTTAATATACTCACTCACAGTGATGAATTTCTCTCTAATCACCATGTTAGCTGCATCCCATAAGTTCTGGTGTGTTGTGCTTTCATTTTAACTCATTTCAAACTAGTTTCTAATTTCTATTGTGATTTCTTCTTTGACATATTTCTATTGCGATTTCTTCTTTGGCATATTTGTTATTTAGTAGAATGTTTTTTAAATTTTAACATATTTGTGAATTTTCAATAGTTTCTTCTGTTGCTTTTTTTTTTTTTTTTTGAGACGAAGTCTTCCTCTGTCACCAGGATGGAATGCAATGGCATGACCTTGACTTACTACAACCTCTGCTCCTGGGTTCAAGCAATTCTCCTGCCTCAGCCTCCCGAGTAGCTGGGACTACAAGCGCGCACCACCAGGCCCAGCTAATTTTTGTATTTTTAGTAGAGATGGGGTTTCACCATGTTGGCCAGGATGGTCTCGATCTCCTGACTTCATGATCTGCCCGCTGTGGCCTCCCAAAGTGCTGGGATTACAGGTGTGAGCCACCGTGCCCAGCCCGTTTTTGTTTTTTGTTTGTTTTAAGCCATATCTATGGGAGCCATTGGCAATCCAAGAACTGTTTTATTTTATTTTTGAATTATAGAGATCTCACTGTGTTGCCCAGACTGGTCTGGAACTCCTGAGCTCAGATGATACGCCTGCCTCAAGCTCTCAAAGTGCTGGGATTACAGGCATGAGCCACCATACCTGGCCTCTTCTGTTGCTTTCTAATTTAATTCCGTTGTGGTCAGTGTATGTATTTTGCATACTTTCAGTCCTTTTGAAATTTGTTAAGGCTTGTTTTATGGCCTTACCATATGGTCTACCCTGGAGAGTGTTCTATGTGCACTTGAGAATAATATGTATTCTACCATTGTTGAGTGGGGTATTCTGTAAATATCTGTTACATCTAGTTGGTTTATAGCATTGTTCAAATTTTCTCTTTTCTTGCTGGCCTTTTGTTTTGTTAATTTTATTTATTTTATAGTGACAGGGTCTCCCTTTGTTGCCCAGGCTGGTCTGGAACCCCTGGGCTCAAGCCATTCTTCCACCGCAGCCTCCCAAAGTGCTGAGATTACAGGTGTGAGCCACTGAACCCAGCCTCTTGATGTTCTTTTTTACTTTTACTTTTTGTGTGTGTGTGTGACAGGGTCTCACTCTGTCACCCAAGCTGGAGGGCAGTAGTGCAATCACAGCTTACTTCAGCCTCAACCTCCTGGGCTAGGGTGATCCTCCCATCTCATCCTCCCAAGGACCTGGGACTATAGGCATGTGCCACCATGCCTGTCTAATGTTGGTATTTTTTGTAGAGATGGGAGACCACTGTGTTCCCCAGGCTGGTTTCAAACTCCTGGGCTCAAGTGATCCACCTGCCTCAGCGTCCCAAAGTGCTGGGATTAGAGGTGTGAGCCACTGCACCCAGGATACTGTTCTTTTTATCGGTTTTGTTTTTTTGAGATGGGGTCTTATTCTGTCACACAGGCTGGAGAGCAGTGGCATGATCTTGGCTTGCTGCAACCTCTGCCTCCCGGATTCAAGTGATCCTCCTACCTCTTGCCTCCCAAGTAGCTGGGATTACAAGCCAACACCACCACACCTGACTAATTTTTATATTTTTGGTAGAGACGGGGTTTCACCATGTTGGCCAGGCTGGTCTCAAACTCCTGACCTTGAGATTCACTGGCCTCAGCCTCCCAAAGTGCTGGGATTACAGGCGTGGGTCAGCGTGCTGGACCTTGTCTTAGTTATTCTATTCATTATTGAAAATAGGATATTGAAGTCTTGAACTATTCTTGTGAATTAACTATTTCTCCTTTTGTAACTGAGTACCCCCATTTTTCTAAGAGAGTTTATTTTTGAAATTATTTTCTCTTCCTTTCTCCTTCCCCACTGCCCCCCACCTCCTACTTAGCCCTTTAGAAATGCAAAGAGAGGCCTGGTGAGTTGGCTCATGCCTGTAATCCCAGGACTCTGGAAGACCGAGGTGGGCGGATCACTTGAGGTCAGGAGTTTGAAATCAGCCTGGCCAACATGGTGAAACCTCATTAGTGGGGCATGGTGGCATGCCCCTGTAGTCCCAGCTACTTGGGAGGCTGAGGTGGGAGAATCACTTGAACCTGTGAGGTGAAGGTTGCCTGGGTGACAGAGTGAGACTCTGTCTCAAAAAAAAAAAAAGCAAAAATAGTCTTTGACCCGCCCCTTCACCAGTCACTCCCTACAGGGCAAGTTCATGTAACTCCTGGAGAGTTAAGAGACAGATTTAGAGACCAAAGCACGGCCCTTATAGGACTTTCACCTGGGAACTTTCACCCTCCAGGGGTTGCCTGGGAGCTCACACTCACCAAGAGGGCATGTTGAAAGCGTGCCCATTTGGCCACTTTTACAACTTCTTCCCAGGAAGGTGCCAACTCAGCTGCCCAGTAGATAAGACATCAAGCTCACAAGGAGACCCCTACCCTTGCTGGCTGTATCCTCTACCTCTTAAAAGTGCCCACATTTTGCTCCAGAAGTGAAGCGGCATGTTTAAAGCCAGGGCGCTTTGCGCCCCTTCCCCAAGCTAGCTTCAGAATAAATTCACTTTATTTTTGGTACGAGACCTTGCTCATGGTAACTGAACCCTGCAATGCAGCGAGCAACCAACGTGCTTTTCAGTTACACTTTCAGTTCTGTCAGTGTTTCCTTCATGTATTTTATAAAGGGCTCTGTTGTTAAGTGCATGTATGTTTATAATTATTATATCTTCCAGATACATTGGCCCTCTGAGTGGAAAAAAACTCAGTTTCTTTCACACTACTCTCACAACATGCTTTTTTTTTTTGAGATAGAGACTCACTTTGTTGTCCAGTCTGGAGTGCAGTGGTGCGTTCTCGGCTCACTGCAGCCTCTGCCTCCCAGGTTCAAGTGATTTTCCTGCCCCAGCTTCCTGAGTAGCTGGGGATTACAGGCACGCAACACCAGGCCCTGCTAAGTTTTTGTGTATTTTTAGTAGAAATGGGGTTTCACCACGTTAGCCAGACTGATCTTGAACTACTGGCCTTGTGTTCTGCCCCCCTCGGTCTCCCAAAGTGCTGGGACTATAGGCATGAGCCACCGTGCCCAGCTCGCAACAGACTTCTGATACCAGATGTGTGAGGATTTCTCCCCACAGCAAGCAATCAGTTCTGCAGGCAGGCTGCTTCCCCTTTTGCCCCCCCAGAGCCAGGCTCCACATGAGCCTGAGAGATCCTTTAAAATTGTTAAGTACAGGCCAGATGCGGTGGCTCACACCTGTAATCCCAGCACTTTGGGAGGCTGATGCAGGTGGATCACCTGAGGTCAGGAATTTGAGACCAGCCTAAGCAACACGATGAAACCCCATCTCTATCAAAAAAATAAAAAATAAAATACAAAAAATTAGCTGGGCGTGGTGATGCACACCTGTGGTTCCAGCTACTCAGAGGCTGAGGCAGGAGAATCACTTGAACCCAGGAGGTGGAAGTTGCAGTGAGCTGGGATCGCACCACTGCACTCCAGCCTGGGCCACAGGGTGAGACTCCATCTTAGGAACAAAAAGCAAATGCAACCCTGTCTCTCCTGCTCCTGATCCTCCAGTGGCTCCTGCCCGGCGATGGGCTGTGCTTCCTCCCTGGCTGACATCTATCATACAATAAAGGGTGAAATGCTTCATGATGAGTAACTCCTGGTTACTGGATATATTCAAATACAGAGTTGCCTCCTCCTCACCCAGGCCACTTGGAGATCAGAGCACTGTTGACTTTAGTAGCATCTCCTGGCCCCCTTGTGGATTCCAGTCTAGGCTTGGGAGAGCCAGGAGGACCTCTTGAACAACGGCTATCATCAGAAAGCTTCTGCACTTCACTTATCCTCTCCCCCAGCCATACCCGGCTTCACATTTTCTCCTCCTCTTTTGTAGTCAATGCAGACCCTGCAGGACTTGCTCACTGATCTTCATGCACTCCAGGTCACCATCAAAGCCCTTAGGAAGGAAGTGGACATGCTAAAGAACATGCTTGACAAGGTAGGTCCTCCCCGTCATCCTCCATGCCAGCTGCGTCGCTCAGGCCTCTGGGGGTTGGAGCAATGAGGAAAATCTAGGAAGCTTACTCTTAGGCCAAGAGTGCAACTGTGAGGGCGTGCTCACGTGGCCCCTCCAGTTGGCCAGTGCCACTGACTTCTCTGTGACCCTTCCGTGCTTTCTTTTCTTTCTTTTTTTTTTTAAGATGGAGTCTAACTCTGTTGCCCAGGCTAGAGTGCAATAGCGTGATCTCGGCTCACTGCAACCTCCGCCTCCTGGGTTCAGGTGATTCTCCTGCCTCCTCTTCCCGAGTAGCTGGGATTACAGGCACACACCACCACACCTGGCTAATTTTTGTATTTTTAGTAGAGACAGGGGTTCACCATGTTGGCCAGGCTGGTCTCGAACTTCTGACCTCGTGATCCACCCACCTCAGCCTCCCAAAGTGCTGGGATTACTGGTGTGAGCCACCACACCCGGCTGACCGCTCCATGCTTTCTACCCCACTGTGTTAAAACGTTAGTTATAAGTGACAGAAGTCAAGTTCATCCTGGATTAGGCAAAATAAGGGATTTATTGTCTCATTTACTAAAAGGTCCAGGGACGGCCAGATCTAGGTACTCACGCAATATTGACATCTCTCAGTGAAGCTTTCCTCCCAGTTGGCTTCATTCTCAGGCAGGCGCTCCCCAAGTCTTGGCAACACCAGACTTATATTCCAGCAACTTAGCAAAAAGAAAACCTCTTCCCCTTCTGGAAAGCTCTGTCCACACAGAAAGTGGACTACTCGTAATAGTGCAGGCATACATACAAGCTCCTTCTGTCGCCAAAAACCATCAGCCAAGTACGTTCTAACGCCCTACCATGCATGGAAGTCCCTGAGCCATGAGGCAGCTGTCCCTGTCACAACTGATGAGTCACAGCTGGGGTTGGAAGCCAGGTCTCCACACCCCCAGGTTTAACAACTTCCCCCAAATAGTGTAATTTTCTGTACTGTCCCGGCTTCACAGATCAGGGCCTGTATTTGCTCATCGTGGCAACTGTGGGAGCTTCAGTCATGGGCTGGATGGCTCCCATCTAAGCAGACAGAGCGCTAGCGTTGCATCATGAGCTACTCCAAAGGGCCCCTTAGACAAAGCTGTTAGAAAAACAATGCCTTCTCGGCCGGGCCTGGTGTCTCACGCCTGTCATCCCAGCACTTTGGGAGGCCGAGGCAGGCGGATCACCTGAGTTCAGGAGTTTGAGACCAGCCTGGCCAACATGGTGAAACCCCTGTCTCAACTAAAAATACAAAAATTAGCCGGGTATGGTTGCGGGCACCTTTAACACCAGCTACTTGGGAGGCTGAGGTATGAGAATCACTTGAACCCAGAAGGCGGAGATTGTAGTGAGCC